GCGACTCACCTGATGATGTAAGAGGATTGCATCGCCGTGAGGAAAGCCAGCGGTAAGCCGAAGCCAAAGTAATAGGGCCAGTTCCTCTCGATGTTGGATAACCGCTGGTGCATTTCGATTCCTGGCAAGAAACGAACCCCGCGGGGAGGGGAAAAACCCTTGGAAACGTTTCATTCCGTACCAAAACCGAGGGAAAATTCAGCCTCGAGTAAAAAAAAAAAACAAAAAAACCACAAACCTCAAACTGGAAAAGTTTCCGCCCCGCCAGCCCTCACCTTTGTTAAACCAGCGGTACTCGAAGCAGTAGAGCGAGTAGAGCAGCGACATGTGGAGGAGGCTGATCAGCTGGCCGATGAGATCGATGGGGAAGAGGCTCACGATCATCCCCTGGGGAAATAAAAACATATATTAAAAAAAACCCCAAACAAACGAGGGGTGCTCTGGATTTGTGGGAGAATAGCGCCTGAGAGCGAAACGCGGGGCGACCCGGGATGGCGGAGGGTTGTTTTTGGGTGTGTGACTCGAATCTCACCTGGATGAGGAAAAGCGCCTGCAACAAGAGGTTAAACAACATGTCGGCGATGATTTTACTGACGCTGGGAAAGGGATGAGGCTTTCTGCCGGAAACTTCGAATGCTAGATCGGCGATGTCCTGTAAAAGGGAAAAAACAAACAAACAAAAAAGTAGGGGCTTGAGGAAAATGACGATGCTACCGAGCTGCTTTTGCCCACCAGGAACACCCCGGAGCCCGTTTTCGGGACGGGATTTCATCTCGCGCTAAAAGGCCGCCCCCCCACATCGCCGACCGAGCCTTAACGAGGAAATTCCCACCCCTTCGTTAGCTTGCCGCGCGGTCCGTGTTCCCATCACCTACCTGAAACCAGATGGCATTGACAACCTTACTGAGCACAAAGAGGGGAAGGACCCAGAGGGCGCTGAAAATGGAGGTGAGGATGAATTCCAGCCAAGACCACACGTCGCCGTTTTAGGGGAAGGGTCGCCTTCGAAAGACAGACACGGAAAAAACACGTGAGGAAACGGCGTAGGAAACATCTTTTTCACACCACAAATGTTTCCCGGCACGACCGTCTCTGCGCTGCCGGGAGCTTCTCCCGACGGTAGCGCTTGAGGACAAGAGAAATCTCCGACCCCAAAGCGAACGGGAAAGGGACTTACCGATGATCTGTGCCGTGACCGACTGAAGGACGGGTATAAACACTCGGTAAAACAAGAAGAGACTAAGCTACGGGGGGAAAAAAGAAACAAGAAGGGTTCTTGGTGAGGCGTTCCCTGTGTAACTACTCATCCGTAAATACGCGGAACCAAGGATTTCTGTTTAAACACAGCCAAAATCTGTAATTGAGCACTTTAACATTTCCACCCCGACTCCTCGTACCTGGCCACAGTCTGATGGAAAAACAAAGGCGGTAATTTATTAGGCTGCGAAGCGTCTGCTCCGTTAAGGATTAGCCTCGTGAAACAGTGGTGGTAAAGACATTTCCTCAGCTCTGACCTTAAGATAGCAATATAAAAAAGCAATATCCGACCGTGGCGGAGCAGGAGTTGAATATCCAGGCGAAGAGCAGCCTCAAAGACTCGGAAAAGCAGCTCGGGTTTAACGGACGGTTTTCCCAAGAGAGTCTATGGCCCTGTATCCCATATCGGGTCCCTTAAAATACGGCTGATGCCCCGCCGTGACAGCAGGACGCTGGCGTTTCAATTAAACCTGGGGTTTTTATTATTGAAAATAACCAAAATATCCACTCACCCAGAATACACCTCCGTTCCAGGCACAACACTGAAATATCCGGCTCACTATCCGGGGTTCACTGCAGGAGAGAGGTGGGTGAGAGACGCGTTAAGGTCGCAGCGCCCAGACAAACGTCCCCCGATAAGTGACGACTGCTTCCGTCCTCGACGCCTCAGGAACGTCGCAGATAATGCCGGCTATGTGCCCAATTTTATCCAAACACAAGAATCCCAGAAGAAATCCCTGCACAGACAGCTTCTGCTCCCAAAAGGACTTTTTTTTTTTTTTTTTTTTTTTTACAAGGAAAACAGCAAAACCTGACTGTTTAGTCCCCCCCCAAAATATATATAATTCCTCAAGGGCAGCCCAACTGCAGGAAGTTTCACGGTCCGGGCAGGATTGGGATCATGGGAGACTTTTCTATCATCTCGACATAAAGTCAGACTGCTGCCGAGCTAGTCAGAATAATTTGTAAAATAGATCTCGAAAGATGAAATACCGACCAAACGTCATGGCGCTAAGTGCCAGCCCGACTGTAATTAGGGCAGCGGAGAAACATCTCAGCGCGGTTTGGGAGTCAGACGCAAGAACAGATGCTGTTTTGCTCCCACACGGATATAATTCGGGCATTTCCAGCCCGAGTGGATGCAACCGCTACAGACGGCTGCGGAACATGGCAAGGCCGGGGAAAAAAGCTACTCGATCTGCCCCAGATGTGTAAATCGGATCCGGGCTGCTCTCTCTTCCCCAATTCTGTGGCTACCAGAGCATTCAGGAAGAAACCCAGAAATCCACGTTCTTTCAGCTTGTATAGCTCCATACCTTCTATTATTATTTCAAACGACTTACACATTCTTAGTTGTCACACAACATAAAAGGTCTGACTTCTTATCTCACGATAACAGCTCCAGTTTCATTACACAGAGTGGAAAAAGGGCATTTCGCATCACGTTTTTCATATTTATTGGCTCGGCGCTTTGCTGCAACTGGGTTTAGGAACCATTTGCAAACGTACACCAGGAGTTCTGCTTTTGCTGACGCCCGGGTCACAGGTCTCTAATGGTTCCGACCAGTATTTTTATGGAGATCTTTGCAAGTGCGGGCAACAATAATGGCTTCACTTCTTAAACCACACTTACCTCAACTTCCCTTTTAGCCAGACATCTGCGACACAATGGATATTCAGGAGAAAAGCACAAGCACTGCCAAATCACTACGGTTTGAAGAGGTTTTGCAATTCATCGGGCTCTTCAAAGCTCTGGGCAGAGTCTCGCTTCTCGCTCTCTCTCCCTGCCTGAAATAGCTGGGAATTACCCGATTTACGACTCGGCAGGCCCCATACTCACTTCTCTTGCTTCTTCTCCTCCATGTGAAACCTCCGCTGGGCGAGCGCGCTGTTTGCCCTCCTTCGCCTCTGCTCTTCCCTTTTCTGCTGGATCCGGGCGTCCAGCTTAGAGATGGTGCAGATGCCCCAGATGGAGTCCTTAATTCCCTGCGGACACCAGGGGAGGGCGTCACGCTCCGTGCCCCCAGAGAGAGGGGGAAACGGGATGTAGCCGATCCCGGTTATGGGAAGGGAATTCACGCGGCCAGCCGGGCTAGCGGGGGAAACCAGTGCCAGGCTCAGCCAGAGCCAAGGTCTGGAGCAGCAACACCAACTATTTTCCACGGCCCGGTGACCTAAATCACTGCGCGTTCCAGCATCTTTAGAAGTAGTGTTATTTTTTATTTCTTTTTAAAGGTGTGATTTCTCATCCAATCTCTGCTATTTATAACCCTGGCAAAAACCAGAGTCAGATCTCTCACAGCCCGTTTCTTCTGTCTGGCAGAAAGCCCTTCCTCCCCTGCCAGCACGTCTAAGGCAAATAAAATACAATTACGCACGATGTTTAGGATGTGCAAAGTCTTTGTGGCCTGACTGCATGTATGAGCTTGATGCTTACTCCTTTACAAGTAAAAGCATCTGTCCTTGTCCCAGAAACATCCTTGCAGCCGCCACATCCGTGCAAACCTGTTAATAGGAAAGTGCCCAGAAGTCTTCCCCTTACTCATTTAAGAGACTCCTAATGCCACCTCCTAGTACTCCATGGGCAGCGATTTCCAGCTCCAGAAATATATCGTAGCCATCGTTATCGAAACTTCTCTTCAAAATAAAAAGACCACAGGGATGCTAGCGTGAGCAGGACAGCATCACTACCCGGGTGACCCACACGACAGTTCGAAACATGCAGTTCTTGACCAAACAGGATAAATTTTGATGCCAAATGTGTGTCTGAAACAGCAGAGTGTCCTGCCGCTGGTACCGGACGAGGTGGAAATTAATTACACTGGCTGCTCTACCCACTGCTTTATAGATGGCGCGAGAGCATCGTGAAACAACACAAGTCCTCCCGCTTTAGATCTTTAAGATCAAACCTAGCAAGTTATTTCTGAAAACAAGTTATTTCTTAGTGTCCTGTCACAAATGTTTTTAAGCCTGTATTTACACCTGGACGATACAGGATGGCATGGGAGCACTGAGATTACCCACTGAACTCAGGTTCAGCACCGTCTTGCACCATTGCCGAGCCCTTTGCAACAGACACACCGCACAACAGCCATCTCGGGAGGAAATTAGTCTAGAGAACACTTGGGGAGCCACACAGCCACCGTCATAGGTGAGAGGAAAGCTGGCCTACAGGTATCTCTGCTTTACAAAATTGATGTCACCAATTCAAACGCATCCGGAGCCCCCTTTCCTTCACATTTTTTAATTTGATGTCGGAAGGAGGGTGCTCCCCGCAGAAGATCCGCCACCACCGAAGCAAACGAGACCTGCCCCTACGATAGAGGACCCGAAACGCAGAGACTCACCCTGACGAGGTCATGAAGGAAGGTTTTCACGCTGTCTGCCATCTCGACTCCAGCATCACCTCTGGTTCCGAAACTATCAACTACAGGGAGAGGGGAAAAGCCGGACCCAAACCTCTCTCATCCTGGAGAGATGGGAAACGGATGGAGCCTGCGGAGAGAGAAAACACAGGACCACAGCAGGCATTAACAGCATCGGTCTGAACGGGCTAATTACAAGCTAAATCACACCAGAGAAAGGACCCGTCCTGATAATTCCACAAATTATTAACGAACTTGGGGTTTCAGGAACAGCAGAGCCTGTATTTCTACGCAGCAGAACGTCTCTCCATAAATGCCATGCCGCTCATTTTCGGAAGGGAAAAGCTGGCATAGTCAGCCTGGAGAGGTGCGAAAACATCTTTGCTAAATCCAATGTGAATTTAGTGCTTCCTCCTCTTCCTTGTGTGTCAGGTAAGAAACTCGAGGTCTACAATTAGAAGCCTGACAAAACGAGGGCTGCTCTTGAGCTGTCCCATAAGCTTTTGCCCAAACCAGCAATTACTCCCCACAGCCCTTTGCCAAAAATGTTGCACCATGTCTTCTGCTTCTTGTAAAGCACCACAGAAATACAGACAGCACCTGCATTAATTAAAAATAGAAATCACCAGCTAATAAGACTCGTGGAGCTTTTCCACCAAGATTCAAATCGCTCGCTTCTCCTAGGCAGGAGTTACTGGAACAGGTTGGCGTCACAAGCCCTGACATGTCAGCGTTGCTGTTGCTCTGTAACGTGTAGCGCAGGATACAAACAATCTAAAATAATTTTTAAAAAAAGGTTTTTATTTTGTCTATTTTGAGACAAAACCTGCCAGGGTTTGAACCGCGCTCCTGTGAAGTGGCGAATGACAGTTCGGATGAAACTGCAGAAGCAGAACTGGCCTCCAGCTTTATTAACACCAAGTTAATCGCAGGCACCTCCACCCTAAAACCAAGCCTTCAGAGGTGGATGCGCTCAGCCCCACACACAGTTGGGGTCTTTTTGCTTCAGCCGGCTGTCCAACGTCCAGGTCGTGCCAGCAGAGCCACGGCAGAAACAAACGGCAGAAATGAGCGTTTTCTTTGTTCCAGGCAGCCACGCCTTGCCACCCTTTGGGCTCGGAAAGTGTTAAACACTGTGAGACCTGACTGCTGTATGGTCTCGGCTTCTGTCAAAAGCCCTGCCTGATTTATTTTTTACCCAAGGTTATTCCTGGGAAACTGGGGGGCAGCCCAGGGTGGGGGTCACTGTACAAGGAGGGATCCTCACAGCACCCCGAGGTGCCCGGGATAGGGATCCCAGGCCTGCCCGTCTGGGGGGGGACACCACTACCTCCTCTCACCGTTAATGGGGTGAGCCCCTTGGTTACCCTGAAATGGGGGCTCAAATTTATCTCAGGGCTGCCCCAGGGTTACCGGGGGCGGTGACGCCTACACCTCCCCC